TCTCCATTGTCATTGCCTCAGGCGTCGATATCGCCTTCTTTTGCGGCAGCGACGGGAGGAGCAATCATTATGACCGGTACTGGCTCTGGTATTGCAAGTGTTACCGAGATCGATTCAACAGACAGCACCATCGTCAAGATGCTGGTGGCTGGACCACGTGACTCCGCTACACGCCAAATGGATGGATAGACTGGGCCCACTCCTGTAGAGTAGTACCATTTCTCCCTTATATTAACAATTTTTTCCAAACAGAGTCTAACCGAAGAATCATTGTATATAGTTCGAATTCTTGTTATACTTCAATCTTTTTCTCTCCTTGCCTCGAATTATTTATCTATCCAAATCTAGGAGTTATTTTTAGTTTTTATTTTTACTTGTTTAGCTAACCGATTCTCACAATCGTTTTATTCTGTCGCTGGCTCTTTATTCATCGCCTATCGCATATCGATATATTCTGCATATGACTCCTTCCTAGATGACTGACACACTCAAATTTCTCCACTGTACTACTATTTTCTAATGCCTTTTTATTGCTTTGTAAGTCCTACGATTCTGTATCCTTTGCAATGTTATATTTATCAACTTAAGCTCGTGAAGAACTGACCTCCCTCGTAATCGCTTCTGCATCTGTTTGGCAAGTGGCAATGCATTGAGAATATACGCCTCTTTCAGCAATCAAGAGGATCTTATAGTTTCTGTTTTTTATTCCTTTGGACTCAGGCCTCACCAATCTACCATGAAATAAGTGTCTCTTCCCATTTCCATATTTTATTGTATATATGCCTTTGAATGATGTCCATCCTTACACTCGCTCCTGCCGTCTGTGCGTATATACGCATTCGCTGAGCCCTTATTACTGTAATTTCTTCGACTCCCTACAACTCTATTTTTTATTTGTCATTTAAGATGTATATATGTATATCATCTCTATTTTTCACAGGCATACTGTTCTGTTCTCCTTCCCTTTCCAGTGCGCTGGCTCTCTTTGATAAGCTAATATGTTACCTTTGGCAGTAGTTTCCTCAGTCATGAGACCGTGTGTAATATCATATTTTTAAGTCTTCCTTTTTTATATGCTCTCTTCTCACTACCACCCCAATACTCTATTCCCTCTTCCCCATTTGGGCAAACTCACATGAAACTCGGCTCATTTTACTCCTGTACATTGCGGTGAACATTTTGCTTTAATCCTTTTTTTAGCCAATGTTCACGATCGAGAATATGCCTCCGTATGCTTTCACAAATCCATTTACCTAATAATTTTTCATATCCAATCAAATCTTTGCTTACGGATGATTTCATTTATATTGGTCATTGTCTCAGAGTTTTCTCCTCTTCAGCACATTTGCACGTATGTACATAATTGCTTGTCTAGCATTGCTTTGCTTCCGGATTCGAGGACGCTATGTGCATACCGGAGTGGGTGATACTTGTCTCTCGCGCACTTGATAGCCCACAGGTCGGCAGGTAAAGCACACATGATAAACGACATTCTTTCCTTTTCAATGCGGTTGATTTCACCTTGATACTATTGGGCAGGTGCCTGGTCTATGTTGTAAAAGGAATAAGGTAGAGGGAAGGGAAAATAGTTTTTCCGTTTTTATGGCGTAATGCCTCTTACTCTTTTCTACCAAATGAGCTAGTTAATGAGATAATTTCTTTGTTCTACCGATAGTTTTCGAGGATTAAATATGATATTTATCTTTTATATGGCTGTGCTTGATTAATATCCTCGTCTGATTACTTCGAAGCTCAAGTTACTGAGTTATCCTTAATGAATGGCCCCATGGAAATGCGGATCGGCTTTACTTGTCCCTTTATTCATGGCATCACTAAGTAAATACGGCCGGCAAGTTCCTGAAACTACTTTCAATCCGAGAAATATTTTTTATAGGAAGTAACACCTTTTGAATCAGCTAGTTACTCTTCTACAGAATCCTTCCCTGAAATGCTAGATCGGGGTTGATACGAGATAAATTATTAAGCAATCTTTGACTATCTTGGAAGGAGATGAGGTTATTCTGGAAGCAGAAAGGATACCGAAGCAATCATTAACATGCTTGATCAAACGGGTAATAAAGACCACATGCTTCACGTTCAATGGCAATATCTATTGGCAAAAATTTGGATGACTTATGGGACCTCCACTCTTAACTATGGGCAAATGTATAAATAGAAAAATTAGAAAATTAATTTGGGAAGTCATAGCTACAGCCGAAAATGCTCATGCTATACCTGGATGACTATTTTGCACTTAGCCACATGGTAAGGAAAAGTAAGAATACTTTCTGAACTCCATAGTGAAAGAATCAAAGCTTCAAAGGAGGTCCAGGAAGATGAGCGGCTACCTGAATGTCGCGGTAATTCGCTTAAGGGACATTAAAAAGGAGAATATTCAGAAATAACTTCCATCGGAAATAATCTTCATTTACTAGTTACACCACAACTACAAACTAAGGAGCTTAAGATGAACGAAAATGTAGTTTTGGAAAAAAGAATTAAATGAATTGATTCCAATTTTATTTACTGACGGATACCGCAGAGAGGTCATACAAAGGGACGGCAACACGTGTAGCGTGAAAATAAAATCAGGAATAAGGACCAAAAGTAAACATGTCTTCCCTCCTGTGTGAACTGAGTCAAATATTTCGACCAGTTTTAGTAAGATTAAATATCCTGGTGTTCACGGATGCGATCCTCTTTACTTTCTTGCCGATGCAATACGGGAAGATTGACAACATGAATTACTCGATAGTTTATCGCATAACAAGCGGCAACTATGAACAGACATATATTGGTAAAATAGGAAAATAAATCAGCCCAAGTGTAGGTTTGACCTCATTTTTGCAGCTTGATCGGAGCAACAGGGAAACCTTGTGGAACGTATCTGCTGGTTCTGCGTCTTCTGTCAGTATTCGGGATTTTCAGCATCGGACCATTTACTTGGTACATATGGGAATGTACCGCGAATTGAAGGCTTAACAATGAGATTTGCCCGATAAGAATGCCAAACTTAGGTCAGTCTCACTCATTCATCGCCACTCATCAGCTTTGGGGGTCTGCTTGATTTGGTATCAAACCTTTGGGGCAGATGATGGGGCCTAAGACCTCGAGCAGTACAGATATGGTCAAGTAAAATCACTAAATCACGAATACTAATGCGAAGAACTCACGGCCAGGTACGTTACACAAAGTCTACTTGCCGTCCGTCATATTACAGACGAAAGCTTAGCACATTTTCACCGGAATCGAAGGAGATTACATCGAAAACAGCGTTAACATGAATGTTCCAGTACAGCCAATCGACAGCTTGTCAAGAGGAATCCGCTGTCGTCTTCTGGTGGAATCTATCTTCGAATCTCTTCAATAAACATCCACTCGAAATGGAAGTAGGCTCAATAATTACTTTATCTAAGGCAACCCAGCCTTGTGTAAATATTTGGGCCTAAAATGAATCAAAACGATCCAGAGAAACATGCCTATTCCAAATAGTTGGCTTATTAGGAGGGATCGCTTACTTTTTGGCAAACGCACATTAATGGGATAGGCATGTAAAAAAGAAGATAATGAGTGGTTATGATGAAGGAGCGAAGGAACATTCGAAGCAAGCGACTAAATAGTGAGGCGAGGCGATGAATTAGTGGGTTAAAGTGAGGGGAAATGGGCAACTGGATGTGGCTAAAGTCAAAAGATAGTTGTGGGTAAATGTGGAGAAGAGCAGGCCTGTGTATCTGTTAGTGTGCTCGGAAGGTACAAGCATCAATATGCAATGTGAGAGCCTGGATAGTACTGAATATGGTAATTGTGATGAAGCGCTTGGGGTACAAAAGTATTTAGATGGAGTGGGTGCATGATAAGCGAGTCATTTGTATGTGGGTACAGATACCACAAGAAAAATGTGTAAATATGTTTATGTAAATATATTTCCATAGAAGAAATCAGACACGCTTGTATTTCGTTAGATCCTGTCTTGCTGAAATGGATATAGCAGAAAGGAGTAGACATTGCACCTCCACTAACCGAAATGTTCGTCAGAGAATGTTGTTTTATTTGCTACTGCATAATTGAGACACAGCTGATGTAAATTGATGAGACAAGTAAAAATCCTGGCCGACTTAATGGCATTAATCGAAGATATGAAGACCAGAATGGTGTGGCCTCTAGTATGGTCGCGGACTTCTTTCGTTGTATATAAATTATTTGACATTGTTTTCTCAACCTTGCCAGGAAGACCGTAAGCTTGAGACTAATCGGCATGGATCTCCGGGACGAGGAGTTGAACAAGTTGATTCGGAGTTGCGTTATTAATGGGTATTCCAGAGAATTCATAGAAAAACTAAAGAGGTCATAAGGAACATATATCAAGGTGGATATTATGAAAATAAAATAGGGAATCAGAAGGATGACCCAAAGCGGACATGTCTTTCCTCCTGTGAACTGAAAATAAAATATCAAAGTGATAAAGAAGGAAAAGACAACATTCTTCACCAGCCTGACGACACGGCATGAGAAGCTTTACAAACTATATTACTCAGGAGTTTATAGCGTCAAATGTGGCAACTGTGAGCACAAGTATATTGGTGAAACAAGAAGAAAAATGGGCCTACTGATCAGTGAATACTAAAGACTTTGCAGAAAAATGGATACGGAAAGATCATAAATAGCGGAAGACACTGCTTTTATGGTACACGAAATAGACTGGCTTCACATGTTGAAAATACAAGAAGATTCAAGATCTGAGAGGCCATCGATATGCTGACTGAAAGAAATCTTATGAACAGGAGGCTTCAGTAAGACAGGATTGGGGTACACTTTGCATATTGCCTTAGTAGAAGAAAGATGACTAGATCAAGGTAATATTTTCAATTTCAGAAAGAGATTTCGCAGAGGAATAATCGGAAATGAAAAGAAGGCGTTTACAGTGAACTTTTTGAGATAAAGTAAAACAATCACATTTTGGGGTCGACACCAAAGAGATTAGGTCATAAAAAAGCCATGGAAATGGCATGGATAGAAGAGCGAGAGATGAGGCTAGGATCATCGATAGTTGGTTATTAGTAGATCACTTTGACCACAGACATGGTCCGTAAAGTAAAGGCTTTAGAACGAGACTTACGTGGTGTACACGCCAAACAGTGAAAAGGGAATCTGCAGCAGTAAGTTAGGTTGCCATGCCAATTGAGAATCCAGACTTTGGGGACTTGCTCAGTGAGGCCGGTGTATACGTGCTAGAAAAGACTTGCCGCTGAGTGTAGAACATAATGTAGCATGTGGCATGACTCCATTCCGAAGCGAAAGTTGGTGGGAAGGAATTCGTGATGTGGTCTCACCGGAAACCGAAGGAGGATTGTCGCGTAGGGAAGACTGTTGAATTGTGCGAAGCAGTCTTCGGCTCACCATCCTGCGACCCCGATCAACCTGTGCTAAGCTTTCGTCTGTACTGTGACAGACATCATCAGAGCAGGTATCTATACTTTACAAAATAGAACAAAAATATACTGAACCAAGAAAAAAGGTAGTCGGCTGTAGCACTAATTGCTTTTTTTATACGTCTAACTTCGCGATCTTAATTTATCATCCCATGATTTGGTTGTTTGTTCCAAATTTACTTTACAAGCTTGTAAGTGAGTGAAGTTACTTGACGAACTGGATGTGCGTTCGGTGGCAGCTATTTCATTACACAAGCAAACTAGTGTACGATCCTCAGCTTCCTCCTTATCTTGCTCATTGGCTCTTCCTGCACCCCCCCTCTCTCTATATCTCTCTTTCCTTAGGTCTATCCAACAGCCACAAAAAGTTCCTACTTAGTTTTCTACACTCGCTCCTCCTATTCAGGAAGTTGGCTGTTTTGTTACTTTCTATAGACTTCATAATCGTACGCTTTGAAATGAAGTCCCCGTATTCCGCAAAACGTTGTGTGTCCTGTATTGTTCATGTGTTCAGCAAGCTCAGATTTTCCGACTCACAAGCGGTTTTGTGTTCGCATAGTCTCTTCTGGATGGGTCGGTAGGCCTCCTCCACATAAACATTACCACATGACCACAAAACCTTGTAGCAGCCCGATCTATAAAGTGTGTCTGAATGTTCTCCAAACGAAGGCATGATTGGAAAAAGTGTTACTCTTTCTTTATACATTGTCTCGATGTTCCACTCCCTCAATAGATCGCCTAACTCTTTAGCAAACTGACAGAAAGGCAAAATCAGGAACCGAGTAGTATGGTCCATTCGTCTATCCCGTCTTAAATAAAAATCTCCTCTCATTCTTGTCACTGAAAATTGAAATGTAATTATCTATTAATTTTAATGGATATTCATTTTGAAACAATATATGTCTTATTGAATATATGAAGACCAAGATGTTGTGGCCTCTGGTGTGGTCGCAGTCTCCTTTCGATTGATA